AGACTGAGTGCGCCCAGCCCACCCTCCTATAATCCCCCACAAATTGACCTCACTGGGCCTGCTTTTATGAAAGGTTTATTCCTAGTGCTAGATCCCAATCTTCCGGGGTTCTAAGCACAATTAAACCGGGTGGGTGGGTGAGAGGAGGCCCATTCAGATGCTGGCCAGAAACGGAGCTCCCCATTATTCCCACCCCTTTGGTCCCAGTCCCCTTCTGTGCAATGGCCACGCATAGAGGAGGGACAAAGGGTACTGGAGGCAACATCATTGGCCCAAAGGAGCCCGAGAAGAGCTGCCATTGGCTGACATGGCCTTTTGAGGCTCTGTCATTGGTCAGGGCGCACACCCCATGAGCTGGGGATAGGCCTGAGGAGTGATGCCATTGGCCAGGGAGTGGTTCTATCATAGCCTTTGGCTGTGGAGTGGAAGGAAAAGATCTGGGAATGGAGCCCAGTGGCCAGAAAAATGAAGGACAGAGCAGCAGCTTCTAGGCCTACAGGCCCTCTTCATACCACAGCAGTAGGGGCAAAACCTGTGTCGGATCCCAGCCAGGGAAAGGGAGCCCAAGCCAGAGGGCAAATGGCAAGGGACGTCCCATGTCCAATCTCCTCCACCATGGGGCTGCCCTTCCCAGTGTCCTTCTTGATAGCCAAGGTGGGCTGGAAGTAGCTCACTGCTCCTCTAGCCAGGAAGGCTTCTCAGCTCCTGGAGGCCGCAGCTTGATGTTGAACTGCTGTAGGGTCTGCTCCAGCTGTTTCTGGTTCCCAGCAAAGTAGGCGGACACGGCATTGTGGAACAGCAGCAGCTGCTTGTGCATCACCTTGATCTGGGGGTCCAGCAGGGTCAGCTAAGGCTCGACTCAGGTGCCCCTTTTGAGAGCTCTGAGCCTGAGCACAGAGCAGGGATATGTGAACTCTGCTCTGATGGTGATCTAGGGCTAGGGACTGAACCTCACCCAGGGAAACAAAGGAGAAAGGTCAACCTGATGGAAAACACCTGATTTGATTTTCTGGGCCTAGGGTCTAGTACCCCACCTAACAGTATACCAGTTATGTTTCTGGGAAATCCTCCAACAGAACAGAGCCAGTGACTGGAAAGAGAGAGACTTAAGAAGGCTCAGGGGTTGAGGGGCGGGGGAACATCCCACCCCTAGGCAGGCTGCATCTCCCCACCCGATAGTGAGGGAGTCGAGGGAAGTTACTGTCAGATGGGAAGGTGGTTTAGGAACAAAGGGGTGGGGTTATTAGCACCTTGTTTTCTTCCAGGAACTTGAGCTTGATGGCTACATCTCCCCGCAGCTTTTCATACTTGTCCCGATGGGCCTGGAAAGTGGCCTGGGCACTCTCAAGTCGACCACGGGTGCCTGCATCCCGGGGGCCTAGGCTGAGCTCCTCTAAGTCCGTTCGGTAAGCATCATATTCCAGCCTGGGGAGAGGGTGATAAAGGCTGGTCTCCATCCATTTTATTCACCACAAGTTCTCCTTTAATGCCCAGATTTCCACCCCTATCCACCAACTTCCCAAACCTTAAGCCCTGCCAGTCCCGCACCTGGCAGCCTCATACTGTTTCACAGTCATAAGTGTGTCTTCCATGGTCTTGGTGACCAACGTGTTGATGCTAGAGACAAAGAAGTTCACAGCCCCTAGGAGCGTCTCCCCATTCTTGCACAGAAGCTTCTGCGTCTCTGCATTGTAGCCAAATTCTTCCTGGAGGGCACAAGGGAAGGACAGGCCTTGAATAAGAGCCCCTTCCTTCCCCTCCTTCCTGGAGAGGCAGGAGTATCAAAGAGCAATTACCTCTAGCAAAGCTCTCTTAGCCAGGAAGTTAGTTTGCCCACCCTAGGGATGCCCAGGGTAGGAATGATGGGCATGGGTGTTCTCAGGTAAGTTCAAAAGACTGACATAGGGAGAGCTAGTGTGGCCTGGGGGGGGGGCTTTGATTAGGCCCAGTGCCAAAAGTATTCTCAACAATGCAGAGAAAGGTAATTGTGAGATACCTAGTATACAAATTGTACAAACCCTTAGATTGCCTTCACACGTGAGTGCTGCTAGGGGCAGGGCTGGGCCCACCCTCGAGGGGTTCTCCCTGTGGGCTGCAGGAGGGAGGGGAGTCTGAGGAGTGACTGCTTGGAATGGCCCCGGGCCCAGTCCCCCCACCCTCTTTGCTCTGGCCAAGGCACCTGAAGTTCTGGGGACTTCTGGCTGAGGTCAGCAAAGGCGTCACCTAGTGCATGCTGGGTCTGCAGCAGGCTGTAGAGATGGGCTGTCAGTGCCCGGCCCAGCTGCAGGACACTTTCATACTTGCGCTTCGTCTCACGGAGCAACTCGATCTGCAGCTCTAGTTCCAGGTCCACAGTCCGAGAGCCTCGGCCAAATCGTTCTGATAACAGTTGTTTTGTGCACTGATTGGGAGGTGGAGGAATACGTCAGAGAACCTAGACCGTGTACCCCACCAGCAAGTACCTACTCCAGCCCCCCTGCCTCCCCCAATCTCAGCCACAGAGGGGCGATTAGGATCTGGGAAAAAGTTACCCAGGGGGAGTTTTGAGAAAGGCAGAGGTGCTGAAATCCCACCTTATACGTGTTGATGCCCCATTTCTTGACGATGTCAAACTTCTCTCCAGCGATTCCCCGAGCTACCTCATCTCCAGGGCCAGCAGGAGTGGTGCTGTGAGATGGATGGCGGCCAGATCCTAAAGGACCAAGTTCTTGACACCAGCCTCTCTCAGATACAACCAGACACCTCTGTGGCCCTACCCATATTTCCTACCTAGCACCTGAGCGCATGAGGTGATTTCCCCGGAGGGGAAAGGGTAGAGTCGCTTAGACTGTCCTACTACCTGCCCTAGGAGAAATTAAGATCTTGTGCTCTGAAGTCAAACCTCAATAAATACTTAGCCTTCTTATAGTGGGGACTGGCGGGGGGCGGGGCGGGGAGGTTTGCTGGTATACAGAGGCAGAGGAAACAAAAAAATATGCTATGTTGCAAGGGGAGTCAAGGATGGTGGGTGCTGATGGGTGCTGATAATAGTAACCCTGGTTGACATTCCCACAGACAATCCTAGTCTGGGAGATTCAGATCTGCTTGTTCCTCTAAAATAAAATGCTGGGAAGCCTCACAAAGTTCCAAATTAGTCTTAAGCTCCAGAACTGGAAAACACCTGTAAACTAGAAGTCCTGTATCAGGTGGTGGCAGCAAGAGAAAGAAAAATGGCCATCTCAGGGATCAAGGGAAGAAAGCAGATGGAAAACCCTGGATGCTGGCATGGAACCGTGGAGACAGTGCACGGGGTCCATACTAGCAAGATCTCTCCACACGATTCAAGTGTTCCAGGATGTATCCTATGCTCCTCCAAACCACCTAGTCCCTTTCTCCGCTCAAATCCTCTGTCTCTGATCATTCATACCTGTGGGGATGAGTCCATCACCAGAGCCCCCATAGCCACCAGATACAATGCTGGTTTCATTGAGGTTGGGTCCTGACACCATCACCTGCTGGAGGTCCTAGAGGCCGGAGAAAGGAGGATGGGGGTACTTCAGGAACATATGGGCAGCTGAAACATTTTGGGGGTGGGGACAAGCTTAGATGGGGTAGGAGAGGAACAGGCAGGGAGAGAGGAAAGGGTGGGAGATAGGAGAGGGTGGGAGAGAGGAGAGGGTGGGAGAGAGGGAGAGAGGGAAAGAGAGCAAGCACGCACACGCGCGCACATACACACACACACGCTGGAAGTCACCGTAGAACCAAATGAAGATTTTGTAAAAACAATGAAGGGAACTAGATAACTTAGGGGAAGGCTACTGGAATGGAATGGGAGTGAGAGGCGAGGATTTATACACTGGGCTCCCAATAGACAATCAGAAGCATCAAACAGAAGCACCTGCTCCAGCCCATCATCTTCAGGGAGCTGCCCAGCTTCACCATTCCCGTGGATAGGGATCTCCATTGTGGCTGCCTTCCCTAGGATCCCGTCCGTCATGGCTAGGGAAGGGGCAGTCTCCACCCCAGCACCCTGCAAAGCCCAAAACAGGCAGTTCTGGAAACTGGCCAGCACTCCAGAAGAGGGACACCTCCCCTGCTATTTCTAAGGCTTCAGAGGTTGTCCCAGGACTTGAGTGTCCCTGGAGCTCAGCTACCACTTCTTTCCTCGGATATGTTTCTCCCCTCCAAACTGTAAATTTTTACACACGCACACCTAAGCCTCAAGTGTCTTCTCACCACCCGCAACCCCACCTTTAGTAAGCATTCATGCATTCACCCATTCAACTGATATTTAGTGAGCGCCTACCATGTGCCAGGCACTAAGGCATTGGGAATCCAGCAGTGAACAAGAGATAAAATGTCTTGGAACTTCTCCCCACGCAGGTGTGTTGACTCCCACCAGGAAACCAGCCCCTTTCTGGGGCTCAGGTGCTCACTCCGCATTCAGGCATGTTCTCCAGTGCTTGGGCTTCCACACTCCTCGGTATTCCTAACCCCCTCCCTCGGGCAGTCTCCCCCCTCCTCCATCCCAAGCAGCTCTTTCTTGAGCCCTCCCCACTAGGCCTTAGTTGAATCAATTGGTGTATGTTCCTGGTGTCTGCTAAAAGCCTCTCTTTCCCAGAATCGAGGCGATCCTTCCAAAGTCAGTTACGTCTTCCAGGTGTGAGTCCCTGCTTCCTCCCCACCCCCATACACCTGGGCATCAGGTGTGTCCTCATCCTTGCCCAAGACTCAGGGGCATCTTGCCCTAAGGACAGGTTCGTGAGTTCAACTTCCCCTCACTCAAGTAAGTCCCCCTTACCTGGGCCGGGCCGTTCTTCCCCTCAGGGCGCCAGGCCCGGACGGCGCGGGGACCTCGGGTTCCAGTTCCCGTCGCGATCCTAGCAGCAGGTCAGGGACTCGGTGGAAGTGACGTCCTCTTTGGGCAGAAGAAGCCGGCCACGTCGCAGATTATACGGGCGGAAGTGACGTACCACAAAATGGGCAGGGCGATCCTGGAACCAAGCCGTCTGTCCTTCGAGAGTGGAGAGATTACTTCCGGGGCGGTGTCGAGACGCTATAACAGAAGTGACGTATCAGCCCGGCGGCGTCATGGAGCAGCAACTGCAGCAGCAGCAGCAGCAACTGAGAAACGTGAGTGAGAGTTGAGTTGTTTCAGGGCCAGACATTTCCATAGCGAAAACCCCAAAGAGCCAGAGATTCTGCAGCGGGGGACACGGCTTGTGGTGCGCGGTCTTGGGAAACTTCGGTGGCGGGATCTTGAGTTGTAGGGTGGAGTGGAGTTCTTATACTTGAGTTTTTGGTCCTCTTCTCTCCCAGTTGCGAGACTTCCTGTTGGTCTACAATCGGATGACAGAACTCTGCTTCCAGCGCTGTGTGCCCAGCCTGCACCACCGAGCTCTGGACGCAGAGGAGGTGGGGGTCTGTGCAGTGAGATCACCCTCGAGCCCCAGAACTAACGGTGGAGTGTTTCCTCCTCTCCCCAGTTCCACTACCTCTGACCCTGCCTTTTCCGTGACCTCTCCCCTAGATTGGGAATGGGGAAGGAAAGAGCCGGCTTGAAAGGACTTTTTTGACCTCTGCTTCCACCCTGTTTTCCATCCAGGAGGCCTGCCTGCACAGTTGTGCTGGGAAGCTGATCCATTCCAACCACCGCCTCATGGCCGCTTACGTGCAGCTCATGCCTGCCCTGGTACAGCGCCGCATCGCAGACTACGAGGCCGCCTCGGCTGTGTCAGGTGTTACTGCAGAACAGCCCACAGCCTCACCACCAGGCAGCTAGCCAACCCCAGCCCCAGGAGGGAAGGTACTGAAGGACCCAGTGGACCTTGGACTTGGTGAAACCTGGACAGAGAGGTTGAGGGGTACTGTTGCTCCTTTCCTGGAGCCAATAAACCCGGTTTTTGCTGTTTGGCTTAAATGATGACTAGGGCACCTTTGTCTTGTTCCGTCATTCAGTGGATATCTGCTGGCTTCACTTTGGCAGCTGAGAATTTGCCGTCTGTGTCTAAAAGGAAAACCTCACTGTTCCAGGCATCTGATTAGAGCAGGTTTGTAGGTACAGTTCACAAGTTGATAGTGCAACAGGAAGTTGGTTGCTGCTCACATGACAGATAAAATGAAGGATCTCTCTGGCTGTCTTTGAGTCTTTCTAATTTAAATGGCCAAGTATGCATTGGTGTGTAACTGTTTTTTCCTGGTTTCTGTCTTACAAAAAGAATTCTTTTGAATCTGGGGAAAGAAGGTGATATCAGCAACAGAGGGAAGGAAAAAAAAAACAATTCCAAAAAACCCATAGGGCTTTTAGGTATTGCTTTTTAGGAAGTGAGTGGCCACAGAACACAGATAAAGCCTGTAAGAATTGGGGGTGTTCTGTAATTGCAACCATTTCCCCAGGTTAGTTTCTTAGTATTTTCTTTCTTCCTGGGATCTACACTAAAATGTTTTAATAAAGAAGAAGATGTTTATCTTCAGGGGCAGTCAAGAGTGGGGAAACTACAGTATAGTTAAATTTGAGGAAGACAAATCTAAGGGAAAAGTAGATGGTGGTGTTTATTTAAAAAAATAAAATAAAAAGAATATCTGTGGATCCTTTTTAATGCTACATTAAAGTTTTACTCATGGCTTGTATAAAATCTCATGATTTCAGCTTTCCACCCTCTATACCACATTATTTTCACTATACGCCGGTGACTTGTAATTGCAGCCTCTATGTTCTTTTCCCATTATTGCCTTCCCCCTTGTAGAGATTACTTCTGTATTCACAGCCTGAATGGCATATCACCCCACACCATTTGCTTCCCCTTCACCTCCTTTTTGTATCATTGTGTTATCTTCTATTTTTGTATCCAAGCTGCTAGAGAAAAACAGTAATATAATGAATGCCATGGGATATTTAAGGTCGCCAATCTGAGTCAAGCCCTCACTACCAGTGAGTTACCCTTTTATGGGCTCTCGGTCTTTTCTGTCTTCTGACCACCATGATAGTTATTTTATACTGTACCTGCATTGCTCTTGTCAACCCACACCACACCCTCATCCCTATCAAGTGAACATTTTTTACAGAGACTTAGAGCTTCTAGACATTGGCTCCCACAATACTTAAAAAACTCCTTTCAACCATCCACAAAGCAGATGTTTTTTCCTACCTACATTTCAGGAAGTTGAAATTCTCAAGTAGCAGAACCTATGGAAAATGTAGATCTAAACCAGATGAGGCGGCACACACCTTAATCCCAAGTATTTGGGAGGCTGAGGCAGAAGGATTACAAGTCAAAACCAGCATAGGCAATATAGTGAAGTTCCGTCTCAAAAAAATAGGGATATAGCTCTGTGCTTCTGGGAGTCAATCCCAAATAAAGTAGATCTTACTTTAAAGTCTGTATTTTTAGTTTGCTGGATGTGGTGGTGCATGCCCATAGTCCCAGCACTTAGGAGGCCAATGCATAAGAATCACTGCAAGGTCAAGGCCAGGCTGAACTACATAGCAAGATCCTGTCCCAAAAAGCCAAAAATAAATAAAGTTCATATTTTTAGTACACCAGACTGCCTCTCAGAATCATCTATTGAGCACTCGCTTTTTGTAGGTTCCGAGGTTAGCAGATTCTGTGCTTAATCTTTACAACAAAACTGCAAAAGGTATTATCCCCACTTAACGGATGAGAAGGCAAGAATCACCTATCTTATGCAGTTACTTACTGAGAAAGGGGCTCTGATATAAAGTGTTTTACAAAGGTAAAAGTTGCTGACAGGAACTTCCTTACTGAGTAGCTTCACATTTGCAATAAAATTTTCTTGAACTCAACTCCCAGAGACAGGAGAATAGAAACCTAGAAAATTGTGTTGCAGGTAGAAAAGCTCTACATCAGTATTTATATGTGTCCTTGCAATAAAGTTCCATTGTGAATTATCTGTGATTCCTCTTTGTGTTTTGTTTTGTTTTGTTTTGTTTGTTTGTTTGTTTTTGAGTCAGGATCTCACTATGTAGTTCAGCCTGGCCTTGAACTTGCTCATGTAGCCCAGGCTGACCTCAAATTCATGGTCACCTCCTGCCTCAGCCTCCCGCGTGCTGGGATTTCAGGTGTGCACCACTATGCCCGATGGGGTGTGATTCCTCTTTCAGCATCATGTAATTAGTAATGTGGAGAAAAACTGAACATGTATCTATCTGGTTCTAAAGCTTATGCTCTTTGAACTGCCAGAACTATTATCATCAATCTCATCTGTAGCTACTGTGCCTCTAGGCATGGGAAATTGAGTATGCCACAGTTTTACCCATCAGTCCTTTTCTTATATTTTCAATCTTCGAACCGGGCATAGTGGCACACACCTGTAATCCCAGCATTTGGGAGGCTGAAGCAGGAGGATTGCCACAGGTTCAAGACCAGCCTGAACTACATAGCAACACCCTGTCTCAACAAAAAAATTCAGTCTTCCATTATCTTCCATTAATTTTCAATCTCTTATGATTATTTTCCATTATTAAAAATTTTTATTAATATGTTCAATACTTCGGAGAAAAACATCCTTTCCACTCTATCATCCATGGTCTTCTGTTCTTCCTCAGTTTTGTTGTAAAGGAATAGCCATTGCTATCATGAGACTAATGTAGTTTCAAGCACAACACACAGAAATAAACTCTGACATATCCTTATCACATCACAAGCTTTGGAGATAAGAGTTGGTGTACCTCTGTGGCTTCAGTTAACTGCCCAATCTTTAGCAAAATATTCCTTTGGGGCTCTCCTTCCATGCAACTATCTCTCATTAGTTGTCCTACCAGTCTCAATTATTACTCTCTTGTTAGTTTCATCTAAATAGCTAGTCCTTGGTTTATTATCCACCTCTTGATACCTTAGTGTTACACAGACGATGTACTCAGTAACTAGGTCTCTTAGTTCTTTGACTCAGGCTCTAGTGATTTCCACAGTGTCTTAGCCCCCTACTCCCTTAGTTAAATCTTGGCTATTGCCATCACCCCAAACTACTCCGTCTTCAAAACACTATCACTTGCATCATATTCATTGGTCATATTTCTTTTCACTTTTTCTTTGTTGAACTGTTGCCTCTATTGATCTCACTGAAGTATGCAGGCTGTTGCTTCTCAGGTTTTTCCTAGCCAGTTTAAACTCCAGTGTTTTTCTTTCAAGAAACTTAATTCCCTTTTCATTTTTTTGGATCCTGCAAAATAGACATCTATGCTTCTATTTGGACAACTGAGTGGAAACCAATATTGAACAAGCATGTATCACTATGAATCCCTGGGTATCAAATTCAGATGGAGTCTTAGCTCCCATAATCCCACTGGCTTGTTCTGCTGTTTATTACTCCCTACAGGGGCCATTTCAAATTAATACTCTTGCCAGGTGTGGTGGCACACACCTGTAATCCCAGCATTCAGGAGGCTGAGGCAGGAGGATCATTGCAAATTTGAGACCAGCCTGGGCTACAAAGTGAGCTCAAGACCAGCCGGAACTGCATAGTGAGACCCTGTCTCAAAAAGACAAAAAAAAGTAATATTCTTAAGCATTCTTTCTCTTATTCTTTCTGTGGGTCACCCTGTTCATAGATGAAAACAGAAGCTATCTGTATCCTACCACTTACCTTTTTTTTGAGGGGGATGGTACCGGGAATCAAACTCAGGACCTTGCGCCTGCCAGGCAGGTGTTTGTGCCACTGAGCTATATCCCCGGCCCTTCAATCACTTACTAATCCACGTACATCTGCATCATTCTTGTCTCTTTCCCTTCTTCCTGTCTAAACAGTCCCTCTGCTCTAACGCCAGTGCCTATTCTTATACTGTGAGTCTTAGTCTTTTCCTGTTTAAGGATGTCTTACTTCCTCCTGCTTTACTAAGTTGTTTATCAGTATTTACACACGTTAACAACTCCCTTATGACAAAGAACCAGTTTACTTTATTTCCCCTCCAGTTACCACCTTTGCCGTAATCCAGCTAAGCCCTTCAAAAATAGTTCAATACTTTGGCTCTCCATTTTACAAGCCACTCTCATTTTTCTATTCTTCAACCCAGTCCATTTTGAATTATACAGCCCTTACTGTATTAAAATCGTTCTCACTAAGGTCACCTTAGTGGTGGCCTTATTTCCCCTCAATCATTAGTTAGTGTGCCTACTTCCGTGTGGCTATTTTCCCAGTGTGCCTATTTCTGTGTGGCTATTTTCTAGTTCCTCATTATTGACGCTCTTCCATTGGTGGCCTTGATTCTACTCATGGTTTTCCTATCTCTCTGACAACAGGTTCTTAGCCTCTTCAGCAAGCTTACCCTCTCCCTAGCCTGAAAACCTAAAAGATTCTCTAGGTCCTCTTTTCTCTCTAGGTCCTTTTTTCTCTCCATCTAACTTTTCTAGGATGGTTTCACCCCTACTCTGAGGTTTAGCTACTAATGACTCAGATTTACCTTTGTACAGATAAGTTAATATCTGATAGCGCTCATCCTCAGCAATTCATTTTATATCATTTTAGTTTTCACTTTGCTTTGTGATACTGGGGATTGAATTTAGGGCCCTCATATGGAGCCACAGTCCCAGCTTTTTTTTTTTTTTTTTTGGAGACAGAGTTTCACTAAGCCACTAAATTGCCTGGTCTGGGCTCCAACTTGCAATTGTCCTGCCTCAGTCTACCAGAGTGGTGGGATTACAGGTGTATGGCCACCACACCTGGCTTCACTCACTTTCTAAGTCCTATGCTTACATACTGAATCTTTTCTCTCCATCTCTATTATCATTGCCTGAAACTTTTATCAGTTCTTTTTCTTTTTAAAGACAGCATTTCACTATGTGGTTCAGAGTGGCTTTGAATTTACTATGTAATCCAGTCTGGCCTCAAACTTGTGGCAATCCTCCTGCTTCAGTCCCCCAAGTCCTAGGATTACAAGTGTGCACCATCATGCCTGCCCCTTAGCAGTTCTTACACAGTTTACAGCAACGTCTCCCAACAGCTTTTCATCTTGAGCCTGGACCTCTTTGGATTAGTTGGGATTTAGCTCAAGTTACATATAACAAAGATGCAAATATTAGACCCAAACTTTTTATTTCTTTCAAGTAAAAGTTTAGTCCAAAGCAGAATTCTTCACAGCTTTCTGATGTTGTAGATGGAGTGTGATCCTCATCCTTTGACCCAAGATGGCATTTTCTTTGTCAAATAAGCAAGGAATGGGATAAGGATTTGTGGGGAAGGCCATGCACTCCTCTCTTTCAGGAGGATATTGGAAGTTGATCACAAACTTGTCATATGGCCAGACTTTGTCACAAGAGAGACGGGAAATGTAATCTATACTCATCAGTCATTTACCTAGCGAAAGATCTGGGAGTCTGTTTCTAATGAAGAAGAGGACAGCAGTTATTAGGAGATGCCTACCAATTCATTTCCTATACTCGCCAGAAATGATTCTTGTAAAAGATAATAATCATGATCCTCATCTACTTGGCTCCTGTGACGTTCAGACTTCTTAGTGTCACAACTGAGGCTTTTCCTAATCAGGTCCCTGGTGACCTATCTGGGTTCACCTTAACCTTCTTTTCTCAGATTTTTTCCCTATTTTTATCAGTTCTTATCACCAAGGTACTGATTTTGAAGCTGAGATCCAAAGGAAAAATTAGAATTGTTTGGACAAAAGATAAAGAGGAGGACCGCCTTCCTTTCTTCATGCTTTTGTTTAGATGTCACTTTTTTTTTTTTTTTTTTGCAGTAATGTGTATTGAACCCAGGGAACACTAAGACAAGGTTTTACTAATTTTCCCAGGCTGACCTTGAGTTTGTGATCCTCCTGTGTGAGCCTTCCAAAGTGCTGGGTTACAGGCATGTGCCACTATTATACACAGCTAAGTTAGGTAGAACTATTATAGGCAGTCAGAGAGGGCTAGGCCCTTGAAGTTAGTGCAGAGGATGAGAACACATTACAACCGTGGCCAGAGGTGCATCTGTTGGAGCCCAGGCCTCAAAACAAAGATGGAATGACCAGGCCTATGTATCTCCTCAGGGATAAGATAAATGGTATCATCCAATCTAATAAAGTCTAGATAAACATCACTCACCCCAGTGGGTGACCAGGACCCCCTGATCCATCCCTTCTTAAAAAAGGTCTTTGTTCTTGCCATGTACACTTGCTATGTGACCTGCCCATTGGATCAATACTACCTAAGTGGCTATACTTGTAATTTTTATTAGTTAATCATGGTTTTGACCTATGTTGTACCTAACTCATGATTTTGCTCTATAAAACTTCCTTTGAGAAGTGAGTTCCTAGGCAACCAACTTTTGGGTCCACTTCTGTCTCTCAGGAGCTATCTCATTCAATAAACTTTTCCCTACCCTTAACCTTTGTTGTTCCTTAGAATTCATTCTTAGATTTTAGGGAACATAAACTTGGCATATCTAACATCTAGCAATTTGGAAGTTATATTTATTTTCCATATATCATCACCATGCCCAGCTGAAAAAAATTTTTGTGTGTGTTTTTAAAAAAAGTTTATTGGTACATTTTAGATATACATAATGATAACATTCATCATATGGAATTTGTACCTGTACATAATCTATCTTGCTTCTTCTTTTATACCCATTCCCCTCCCTTCCCTTCAGCCCCTCTTCCCCTCCTTATTTACAAAAGCTTTGTTTCCATTGTTTGCTTCTATTCTTTTCTTCTTGTCCTTTCTTTCTTTTCCCTCTTCCCCCTTGTTCTCCTGATTTTAACATTTTCTTCCCATTTCCCAATATCTATTATACTTTTTGGTCCTTATTTTTTTAAATTAAATATTGGTACATTTCAGGTACACATAATGATCACATTCATCATAGGGAATTTGTACCTGTACATGATATACCTTGATTCATTTTTTCCCCATTTGCCTACCCTCTCTTCAACCCCTCTTCCCCTGCTTATTTATGAAAGCTTTGT